AAGAAGCTTGCAGAAAAAACCAAGGTGGCACTGCAATGTATGTCAAGAATGTATGCACTTCCTTAGAGGTATGAGAGGAAGCGAACAGCAGGTTGAGTGCATCGTAGTGAAGGTAAGAACAGTAAGTAGTGGTATCAGAGTGGAGGTCTGTTATCGATAAACAAATCAGGAGGGAGAGGTGGATGAGCCCCTTCAAGTGTGGAGAGCAACTTTGTTTCAGAAACATGAAACAACTGTGAGGTTTATGTATTAGTCCTGGTTTGGAGCAACAGGGATACCAGTGTACAACCTCAAAAGGGTCAGAAATGATCACGTTAAAATAGATTTCGTGATTCAAGGAGAAACTTTGAGAAGAGCCAAAAGAGGACCCTACACTTCAAAAGGCAGATTTCAGTCCATTCAAAAGCTGTAGATAAGGTTCCATAGGTAGACAAATAAGAAGGAAAATATATTCAGAAGGGCTAGCCTTTGCTAGCCGACCTGATATTGCAGGCACAACATCTAGCTAAGCCAATATAGAGGAAAGATAACAAGCTTGACTGCACAATAATATTTTTTAGCAGTCTGAAAATAAACAGTGAGCCTATAGGGACCAAATATGTGAGGCAAAGGAAAAAAACAAATTATAACTAGCAAGAGATGTTAGAGGCAACAGGAAAGGATTTTACAAGTATGTCAGAGGGAAAAAAATAACTATCTTGGTTCTGCTGCTAACAGAGAAGGTAAGTTATTCACAGAAGATCTGAAGAAGGCAGAGCTTTTCAATTACTACTCTACTTCAACCTTCACAAAAAATAAACTCGGACTGGAAGACTAGCAAAATTAATGTAAATAAAGTAGGGGAATGGATGCAGATTGCGGTACATAAAGAACGCGAGGGAACATTCGACTAATTTGAATGGATTTAAGTCAGCAGGGCCCAATGGAAGTGCTGAGCAAATCTGGGAGTTGCTGTTAGTAAGAGTTGCAATCATATGAGTGACAGGCAAGGCTCCAGGGGGCTTAGTGAAGACCTAACATAGCACCTGTCTTTAAAAAGGAGACCCAGGGAATTATAGTCTGACTTCAATACTTACAAAGTTAATAGAGCACATTATAGAGCAGTCAGTACATATCCAGTGGATGATGGGGTGATCACTAGCAGTCGACGTGGATTTCCTGAAGATGTATTGTGTCAAGCCAAATTTATTTTCTTTTATCAAGGTTACTGGTGGATGGAGAGAATGTAATGGATTATATGTATGTGAGCCCAAATCCAGCTCCCCCTGTTGGCTGCATAATAACCCCATACCTGCATAAAACTACATACGTATGTGGGAATATACAGTTGCACATTCAGACATGCTCTTTGAGCAGTGCTTGGAAAAAATCCACTAGGGCCATTTAATCTGTTGTAATCCTATTCTACATAGGAGCCTGTGTAAATCTATGTAAGTCCTTGAAACTTCAATTGAAGAAAAAAACACCTCCAGTGACTGGTGAAGAGGATAAATATTTTGTGCTAAGTAGGTGAATGAACATCAAGGTGGGCTAGGTGGTGTCACTTAGTTCTTTGCGGGCATAAAGCAGGGATCCCTGTTGCTTCATGTGTTCCCGGCCCCATGTATCTTCCCTTGCCTGCTGGTGGGCACTTTCAGCTGAGGCAGTAGTGGGTACTTTTGGCAAGGTCTAGGCTATGGTCTGGTAGTTAAAGCACTTTGCTGGTAAGTGTGAGATATAGTTGCAAACCTCAAGGTAAAAGGAGGCCTGGAACTTGGGTCTCTCATTTCGTGGGCCAGTACATTTATGGCTGGATCAATTGGCTAAAAGGTGAGAAGGTAATTCTCCTTCTCACTACTTAAGCATGTAACTTTAGGCAGGTAAGTACTGTATAACTACCTAAAGGAGGAGTTGGGTTTGAGTCGTAAACTGTAGTGAGGCTTTTGGCAAAGTCCAACACACAATTCTCCCAAGTAAGCTGGAAAAGTCAGGGCTAGATTGAGTTACTCTTAGGTGTGTACATAATTGGTTGAGTAAGCACCAACAGTTTGCTAAAAATAGTTCGAAATCAGACAGGCAGGAGGTCTCAAGTGGGGTTCCACAGGAGTCTGTTCTGTGTCCAGTGGTGTTAAACAATGTTGTTGGCAAATTGGATGCAGTAATAGAGAGTATACTGATCAAATCTGCAGGCATCACAAAGCTGAGAAGAATTGAAAATGTATGGAGAATGGTATTAAAATTCAAAAGGATTTGGATAAATTGGAGAACTAGGTTATAGCTCAGAAATTCAGCAGAAACAAATGTAAGGTGCTATACTTAGGAAAGAAAAGAAAAAAACTAACATGCAGATATGCAATAGTGGGGATAACTGGGCTGGCCAGAGCACTGGTAGGAATAATCTGGGATTATGGTGAATCACAAACCCCAGGTGAACCAGTAGTCATTTGCCACAATAAAAGCAAACATAATTTTGGCTGTATTGTATGTGAGACAGTAGGTCATAGTAACTCTTTACTTGGCAGGGGATAGCCCTGGTCTGGAGCACTGTGTAGAGTCTTGGGTGTTGCATTTTAAGAAGGGTATATAGAGAAATTTGAGATAATCTGTTGGCGAGCAGTGAAAATAATAAAGAGGTTGGAATGCAAGTTGTTCATGAGGAAAGGTTGAAGGAACTAGGTCTGTTTTAGCTTGGAGGAAAGAAAACTAATGGGGGCATGATAACAATTTTCAAATATTTGAAAGGCTGATGTAAAGAAGGAGAAAAATTGTTTTCCCACATCACAGAAGGTAAAACAAGAAGCAGAGCCTATCTACAGAGGGAAAGGCAGCTTCCCAGTCCTATCAGTTATGTGTGCCAGAGGTTTGTATCGTTGGCCTGTATATTCCAGTCCTGCCGACGACCCTTTTGGGTGTCAGCATCTTGCCAAACAATGGATTTCTGTTTTATTTTTTCATTTTGCTTTTTTAAAAACTTAGGAAATTACGTGCAAAAGAACCTATAGTAAAAGAGCATGACTAAAGTTTCCAGTCATACATACAAAAGTTGGGGAATACCAGAAATAGATTGCCTGTGCAGGCTTGATTCTGCTTCATTATGTGGAACATTCTGATAGTCTTTGATTATGTGATAGCATACTGTTTTTTCCACTAGACTCTGCCTTTTGTAGTGCACAATTCACACTTCGGCCATGTAGTGACTTGCATTGTTGGCCTCTCTGATTGCTGAAGCTGACAAATGTTTAAAGAATGAGACAGAAGATTGCCAGAAAAGAAAGTACACTTTCATGGTTTAGGCAGATGAATGCTACCCTGGAGAGGGAAAACTCTGTCCTTGCCACAGACTTCCGGTGTGATGCTGAGCAGATGAATTGAACCAGTTTTCTGGAGACTATCACTTATCAGTTCCTCGTTTTCTGGATGTCCATCTCGGAGAGACATAGGTTTTGATTTGTCCTGGGCACTCATGGCTGCGGCTGGAGTCAACGGGAGCTGTACTTTGAATATGTAAAGTGCTGTACAGTGTTAAGTATTCTGAAAAAAACAGGTCCTGTTTATCTTAAAACTGGCACAGAGAGTTAGAGAAACAGGACTGTCCAACTTCTAAGTGGTTGGGGACCCTGTAAGCCACACCAGCATGAGTCACAAGTTCTCAGGGCCATGTGCCATGTGGGCAGTGCCCCCTCACCCCCACCCCTGCATACAGGTGCCTAGCCTCGTTATCAGCTCCCTAGCCAGGGGCTCCCCCACTACACCACACCTTGTGGGTGCGCAGGAGCCCACAGGCCTCAAATTAACCCCTCGCAGACTGCGTGCACCCTGTTGACCACCATTTGGATCGCCCAGTTACAGGGTGTTGTGAAGGTAAATTAATTAAATTAAATCAAAATTAATTAACATTTGTGAAGTGTTTGGATACTATGCTGATAAATGCCATAAAAACACCTATGATGAAATTCATAATTCTGTCTTCCAAATAAAGTTGAATAACAAGTAATAAAGAAAACAGGTCAACATGCTTAACAAAGAAGATAGAGCAAAATATTAACCAGCTGCACATTAAGAGAGCACCGTACATCCTCTGCCATGAGGAAGGCAGTGGGAGGTTCTGTGAAAAACGATGTTTATGTAACTAACGACTGTGTCATAATGCACATGCATGAAAGCTGTATTAATTTTGCAAAAGCAACCTTATTTCTGTAGTTCTCTAATTTCTGGGGGCTTGATTTTGAAACTTTAAATATGTTATTTTTATTTAGGTCCTTTGTATGTAGTTTAGTTTAATTTAAATAGAAAAAACTCATTCCTGTTTATTTTTGGCTGGCAGAGAATAGTTGTATCAAGTGCAGTTTTCTTCTCCAGTTGGAAAGTAACTTCTGTATTACCTGTCTTAATGGCTTTGCACAGTTCAATTTGTGCTTTGGAGTCTAGAGAAATAATAGCATTTGGTCTCCATAAAACACTTTTGAAATACATATGCACAAAGAGGGAGAATAAGCTCCACAGATAGATTTGGTTTTGATATTGTCTGGCGTTTGAATGTTTAACTTAAAAACCCCTATGTTCATGTTGTAATGATATACTATATCATGTTGATCATTTGGAGAGATTGGAGTCACAACAGTTTAGGCTGCAACTGAATTTATGTATTATCCTGTGATGTGAAAGAACTGAATATGACAAAGTATATGTGCAGTACCAATGAAAGACAGTTGTGTCCAGTGTGAAGATGGAGAGGAGTTAAGGATCAGATGACTGACTAAACTGCACTGAAGATTTCACATTCTCACTGCTTTCCAGCAATGGTTATTGGACAATTGGAATCGGGTTTTGCACCCTAAAATTTCCATTGCTTCTGTGATAGCGTGTCAAACTCAAGGGGGTGGGGGGAAGAAAGAAGCATATACAAAACAGAAGTTTTTTTTATGTGTTGTTTTGAATAAGATATTGGGGGGGGAAATAGAATGGAACAGAATGGGGAAACCTTTTAAATGTTGAATTATGTGCATCTTCTCTTCCTTCAGGACAGTGGTGATTATCCACTTACCATGCCTGGTCCACAATGGAAAAAATTTCGGTCAAATTTTTGTGAGTTCATTGGCGTGCTGATTCGACAGTGTCAGTATAGCATCATTTACGATGAATACATGATGGATACAGTCATCTCTCTTCTGACTGGTTTGTCAGATTCCCAAGTTCGAGCTTTCAGGCATACCAGTACGCTCGCTGGTAAGTAAGTTGGCACAAAGAACAGGATTTTCAAAACAGTTATTATTATACCTAACTGCTCTCGGTTTTACCATTAGGGGGAATGGGACAGAGTTTGGGCAACACTGAGTTCTTCTGAGAATCCTATGCAAATTGTATCATAACTGATTTAACTATACAAAAAACATTTCTGGGTTGGCATATAGCTTGGGAAATGTGCTTGAATGAGACCAGAAGTTGCCAAAGACCATGAGAATTCCACCCCCTTCCTTCCCATGCTCAGAAACGAATCCATTCCCCCCAACCCTTCCACTATTTCCCCTTCCCTGCTCTCCCCACCCCCACTCTTACCACCCCCATCTTTTGCTTTTTCTGTCCTGGGAGCAAGGGAAGCTCCTATGCTGCTCCAGAGTAGGGGCTGGGATCAGCCTGGGACTGTGATGGCAGCAGGTGGGTGGGTTGCCTGGTCCCCCCAGGTGATTCCTGCCAGCCCAAAAGCAGATGCGGGTGGGGGGAACCCACCTGTTTGCCACCCCTGTCCTAGGCTGAGCCTGGCTCCTGTGCAGCCTGGCTGGAGCACTGCTATAGCTCCCCTCATCCCTGGGACAGTGGCAGGTGGGGGAGCTGGGGAGGGGATGTGATTCTGAGCAGGGAGGGGAAGAAGGAAAATTCTTACCTGCTTTGGGGACTTAGACAAGTCCCCAGCTGCTGCTTCCATGGCATGGTCTGCCCACCCTGGTGGAGTGGGAGCAGGAAGGCAGCTGGAAGAGCAGGGTGCAGCTACCCCTGCAGTGCTGGTTTTTGTTTCCACACTCCCCTTTGTGAAATCCAGGATCTGCTTCTGATTGACATTTCAGGAAACTGAAGCTCACAACTTATCTATTGCCATATAAAAGCACAGGCAGTAGCTATACAAATGTACCATGATATTGTCCCATTAGTGTATCACAAACCTGTCTTAAAAGCTAACCACTTCTTGAAGATCACCAATAAAAATAAAGTCAGTTTTATGATGATGTAGACTCTTGTCCATGGGGAACTGGACAGAGATCAAGTTATTTCATACATGCCATTAAATAGCCATCGGCAGTTTTCAGTCTTTTCCATTTTGCATTGGATTTGAGCTAGCAAGCTAAAGATGAAAAGTCCTGTGTAGTCTTTCCAGTCTTTTGAATGAAAAAAAAGACTTTTGCATAATTTATTGATGAATATTTATTTTGTAGCATAAGGTGCCTGTCATAAAACCCCAGGTGCCCTGTACAGTACATTTTAAATGCATTAAATAGATTCTGATTAATAGTGTCACCAAAAACTAATCCTATCCACCAGAGAAAGAAAAACTCTACCATGCCTACATACCCCTCTTTTCAATGACTGCTTCCAAATAGACTTTGGAAAGGAAGGCCAGGATTCTAGATTTGAGTGTCATCTTCTGCTGTCAGCCCCTAGCGACTTCCTTCTGTTTAAAATTAGCTGAGATACATAATGAGATGTGTGATGTCTGAGATAAATAGACTCCAGACCATACAGGCTTATATGTCATACCTGTCATTCTAATTTAAACATTTAGAGAATCAAGTGTAATATTCTTCTTTATTGTTGTTGTTATCTTTGCATCATATTTGCTCACATATAACATGCTCTGGAATTTAATATGCTCCTTGTTTTGAAAGAATGAAGGAAAACAGATCATTCTTCGTAGTAAGTAACTGAGCAGCAGCAGCTAGGGAGTGGAGCCTGCTCATTGTTCTGCTCCCTGTGGATTGTTGCAGGGGTTTTTTTCAGTGTCACCTGTGAGAAGTAGAACCTGTTCTTACCACATTTCTCGCATATAATGTGCACTCAAGTTTCCAGCAGCTGGTTTTGGGGGGAAGCGGTATGTTATGTGCAGGAAAATATGATAAAATATTAATATGCTTAATCTTTGCCGAGCCACTTTCTTTAGTTGTCCAGATATTCAGTTAATCAGAACCCCAAATTGAGACCAGTTTTTTGAAAGAGGTTAGCTTTCATTTATTTCCTTGTATAAGCTCAGAGTTCCAGGAATATCCATGACCTTGTAACTTCATACAGTTAGTGCCAGACTTTCAAACGAATGTAACAATCAGTGAACTGAAGCCTTTTGAAATTCTGTCCGTATTGCTCATTTTGTCCAGAGAACAAGTGGTACAAACATGAGATTCTGTTTTAAGAATTACCTCTATACATCCTCATTCTTGGAAAACACATACTGCTTAATGTGCAACAAGAAAAGATTCTATAAGTATATTAGCCAGAAAAGGAAGACCAAGGAAGCAATGAGTCCATGGCTAAGTAGTCAGGGTGAGCTCTTAGCAGAAAATGCAAAGAAGGTAGAGCTGCTCAACAGCTACTTTGCCTTCAGTCTTTACAAAAAAATCAAGCTGCACCCAGACAGTTTATAGGGATTTTTTGGATAAGGAAAGGGACAATTTCAGGGGTGAGATAACAGAAGAAACGCTTTTGATGCGTCTGAACCAATTCAAGTCAGCAGGACCTAATGAACTTCATCCCAGGGCACTGAAGGAACTGGCAGTGGAGATTTCAGAGACCTTGGCAATAACATTTATCAAGTCCTTGCAGACAGGTGAGGCACCAGAGCAGTGTAGTGCCCCTGTTTAAAAAACAGCAAAAAGGAGGACCCCGGAGGAACGTTAGACTGGCTTGTCTCACCTCGGTACCCAGGAGGTTATTGAAGCATATCATAAGGAAGTCTGTTTGCCAGCATCTGGAGAAGGAAGGAGCAATCATGAGCACCCAACACAGATATACTATGAACAAACCATGTCAAACTTGATTTCCTTCTTGGACAAAATAATTAGCTGGGTGCATGAAGGGAATGCGGTGGATATAGTGTATGCAGGGTTCAGCTAGGTTTTTGACAGTCTCAAATGACCTTCTCATAACAAATTGGAAAAATGTGGGCTAGATGATAGACAACTCGCTCAGTAGCCACAAGCAAAGGGTAATTATAAATGGATTCATGTCAGAATGGCAGTAGGCTTCAAATGCAGTCCTGGGGCCAGTGCTGTTCAACATGTTTATTAACTATTTGGATGCTGGAATAGAGAGTTTTTGGAGCAAATTTGCAGATGACACAAAACTGGGAAGGATCATGAACACACTGAAAGACAAGAATGCAGTTGAGATGGATCTTGAAAAATTGGGAAGTTGGGCCCGAGCTAATAGGATGAAATTAAGTACGGGTAGGTGCAAGGTGTTATACCTTGGGGAAAAATAATAAAAAACCCAAATACAACATGTGTGGCACTTGGCTGGATGTCAGTTCTAGGAGTCTTGGTGGATCACAGACTCAATACGAGTCTGCAGTGTAACAGCTGCACAAGAATAATATGTGGTTTTGGGTAGCATCAGTAGGAGCATTAATACAAGACACAGGAGGTGATCATGCCTCTTGAGTTGGCCCTGATTAGGCTTCATCTAGACCGTTGTATGCAGTTTTGGGCTCTACGTTTTAAAAAGGACATGTAGAAGTTAGAGAGGGTCCAGAAAGGAGTGACAAAAATAATAAAGGGCTTGGAAGGCAAGCCATATGAAGAAACATTGAAGGAAATAGGCATGTTCAACTTATGGAAGAGGTACTTAAGAGGCGACATAATAGCATTCTTCAAATATCTGAAGGACTGCCATAAAGAAGAGGGAGAACACCTTTTCTCTCTTGCTGCAGTAGGATATGGACCAATGGCTTGAATTTGCAACAAAGCAGGTTTAGATTGGATATAAGGTTATCTTTACTGTTAGGGCAGTGAGACAGTGGAATAGACTGCCTAGGGAAGCTGTGGAATCTCCATCACATTTTGGATCAGGAAGAAATGTTATCCCCTAATCAGACTATACAGACTTGGGGTTGCGTTCCTCTGTGGCATGGGGGCATGGCCCTCTTCCTTGAATCTCTCATGCATAATTTTTTAGTCACACTTGCAGCAGCAGGATGCTGGTCACTGTGACTGCCGCGCGTGCCCCACCCCCCAGCCTACCTATAGCAGGTTAAGGTGCTTTGTCTTGTATTTGTGTGGCAGGTTTGATTATACAATTTTATTAATAGATTAGACAAGGATTTATATGGGATGGCTTTGGATAGGGATGAACCTGCCTCTGGCAAAGGCTGGACTGGACAACCTCCAGAGGTTCCTCCCAGCCCTACTTTTCTATGATACCCTCTGTTGCCCCTTCCTTTTTCAGTGTATACATGGAACTACTTAAATGTTAGCAAAGAGATAATGTGTGTTGTTTTTAGCATACTGATAGCTCAGTTGTTAAATCATGTCCAGCCTCGCAATGGAAAAGATGACCCAGTGTCTACAGTGATCTGAGTGGAAAGGCTTTCTTCCCCCCCGCCCCATCTGTATGATGATGTGAACTAAGGGTTTCCTTTGAGTTTGGACATCATACTACATTATCCAGGTCTTACAACTATTTAGAAACTAAAGCAAGCACAGAATATAGCTTATTTTTTCTTTAGGCAGAGGATCATGTTGAGAGTATATAATATTGGTGCTCTATATTTGTCTGCAGACAGCCTGGGAATCTCCTGGTATTATCCAAAGTAGTAATTTGAATCTCTAAAACTCTGTAAGATTTAGTACTAGATGACAGAAGAAATGTTCTTCCAGAGTGACATTTTACTGTGCTGGCAAAGAGTGAAAGCACTTAGGTTGAGATCACTTCATATTAATTGGGGGAGGATTCTAGTAAAGGTAGTCTGTGATTTGCTTTTCACCTGGGTTAAATTTGATAAGCTTCCTGAAATGGTTCAGTGCCTGTCTTTTTTTTCCAGCACATTTAAGGAAGGATGACTTAGGGTTCATTGGTGGTGGTGCTGCTGCTGCTGATAGTTGTTCTTATGTCTGCAGTTAAGGAATTTTTACCTTAATATTATTTGTCCTAGTGGATACTTAATGGAGTGGGATTGTAGCCCATTGTACCCTGTGTTCAGTTTGTCAGTGTCTAAAATATGGGAAGGATGTTTATTAATGTTTTCTATAATCAGATACATATAATGAAGGGAAGGAAGAGATATTGAGTCAATGTAAATTGAGAGTTACAGTAAATTGATGCCATTTGTAATTTTGCTACAATTTGAGAAGAAGGCATATGAAAGGGGCACTAGTACTAGAAAGCATTGGGATAACCTCAGCTACATGATCAGCATTATGCATAGCATGTTCTGAGGAATGTTTTCATAATTGCGATATAAAGCTCAATTTGTATTTTTACACAATACTCTTTTTTGACTGGGGAGCCATATCAGACTTCAGTTTCAAAGAAATAGTCCAGCAGCTTTTTTTAATTGTGCAAGAGGCAAGAATTTGGGGGGGTGATATCTTTTACTGGACCAGTTGCGTGATTGGGATAAAATTAGACAATCTTTTGCATGCCAGGCATTCTTCTTGTAATTTTTAGTCATCTTCATACAGTTGTTACACACAGTCTACCTCCCAAGTGTGTTGGGAAAACTCCCAATGAAAGAAAGTTACTTTCCACTTACTGGACTTGACAGACTATGTTGATTTGCTCCTTCACCACCACCAGTTTTTAATATTACTCTGAAAACATGAAAAGGAGCTCCAAGGGCAATTGGAGCCCAGTTCCTTCTGTACTCTGATTTCTAACGTTTGGATCAGTCGGGGGCGTGGGTATGCCTTCAGTGGGAACTATTTTCTAGATAATTCTGTATACCTATGTCAGGAGTTGGTTACATCCCATGAATGTGGATCTGTTGAGGTATTATATTTGAGCCCCAGTTACAAGTGAGTAACTTTCCTTCATCTTCCACTTCTTTCAGCTATGAAGCTTATGACTGCTCTTGTGAATGTTGCCTTAAACCTGAGTATTCATCAGGATAATACACAGAGGCAGTATGAAGCAGAGAGGAACAAAATGATTGGTAAAAGAGCCAATGAAAGATTAGAGTTGCTGCTCCAGAAAAGGAAAGAGGTGAGTAAAAGGACCAAGACTATTCTGCTTGGTATTTAGTTCGTTCTCCTCAAAAATGTAAATTAAGAAGTTTCTGAAAAGTGTATGTAGCCTTTGTCATTTATATCATTTTGAATATCTGAATGTGTTCTCTGTGTGTAGTGCTAATTTCATTTTAGCCTATGTTCAACGATTTGTCCATAGTGGAAGAAAATTAATCATTTAGACCAAAAAAGATAAAATTTAACATTTTTTAAATATTACATGGTTTTGTGGTTAAAGTATGATGGTGGAAACAAATCCGTTCTGTGGCACCTATGTGACCTCAAGCATTGATACTTAAAGCTCCATTTTCAAATCTTGGACTCATACATGCAGCTGGTCTTGCAGGAACTAACTTCTGTATGCATGAGATGGTAGTTATTTTCAAAGATATATGTGGTTCATCACTACACAGCGCACAGATTTTGGCTGTGTGTAGAGTAAAGAGCTATTAAAAAAGGGATCTTGGGCACTCCCCAGCTGAACTGCACACTACTTCTTTTAGCCATAACCACTGTATACTTTCTTCTTACTTTTATTCCAACTACTTTCAAGAAACGCTGGAATAGGGACTATGCCATCTAAATGCAAGTAGGAAAAACTAGGCAATAATTATTAAAGTCATTTTTAGTAAACGCCAGTCATTAGAAGCATACTGTAATTCTCAAAGCAAGCATTAGGCCCCAAGAAATGCATAGTTAAGGTTATACTTTAAAGAAATCTAAACAGAATAAGGTGTGGAAACTAGGGGTGCACGGGTTTTTTTAGGGCCGATAACTATAGCCAATTTTTAAGGAGGCATATTGGCTGATACTGATCTGATTTCCAATACACAGCCCGGCAGCTTGAAGAACTACGTGCAGCTGATAAGTCTGTTGTGGTGGAAGGGGAGGGGGAAGTGAAGGGGTGTGGGGGTGCAGATTAAGGGCCTGTGGTGAGGGAAGGAGTGGGGCTGGAACAGGCGCTGCCCAGTTGGGGTGGTGCAGGTGCAGGATGGAGGCGCGGCCTCCCCAGGGGGCGGGGGGGGCGGCTCCCACCACTGCGAACACCCTGGGAGTGCACGGGGGTGGGAGGGCATGTGCTCCTGGATCTGAGCTGGGTGGGCTGCATCGGCTACCAGGGGGCTGCAGCCACCCCAAAATTTGCCATAGCTACTGTTGCCCGCCCCGCCGCAAGCACAGCCCGACCCAGCCCCTGCCAGGAACAGCCCGGTGCAGCCCCAGCCTATAGCAGCAGCTGCCCTTCCCCACACAGATCCAGAGGCACCCACCCCCTGTGCCCTCCTGGGGTGCACACAGCAGCAGGAGCCTCCCCATCCCCTCCTGGACAAGCCATGGCTCCTGCCAGCGCTCTACCCTGCCCTTCCACCCCTCCCCTCTCCCCTGCCCTTCCACCACAACAGACTTACCAAGTGCATGCAGCTCTCCCAAGTTGCCGGCCCGTGCTTCTCGCTACCTACATGCTGCTCTGTGGCTGCGCACATGCATGGGCCATTTATCGGCCACAGCAGGCCAACTTCCGATGCAGACAATTTTCTTTATATCGGTGCCAATCCAATATCAGGCTGATGTATCAGTGCACCTCTAATCAGTGCACATATCAGGCGCTCAAAAAAAAAAACATTTACTTCTAGCCTGCAAAATTAATGATCGTGAATAAAGGCAGTTAGTGTATATGGTCTCAGACTAGGGTAAATTAATTGTGAAAGACATACTTTTTTAAATTGTTTTCCCCACATCGTGTCACTACAGGGCAGAGATTATGGTTCTTTCGTGCTTTCATTGTGCATCTCTTGGATTTCATATAAGGGTTTCACAAATCCTATAATGCATGATCTGCACTTAGTTGCATCATCTTTAAAATGTTGTTGACCCTTACACAACTTAATGTAGTTTTTCTGTGTGACCATTTCTGTGGATTCTTTAGTAATAATAGGTGTGCGCTGATACATCAGTCTGATATTGGATCGGCACTGATATAAAGAAAATTGACTATATCAGAAATCGGCCTGATGTGGCCAATAAATGGCCCGTGCACGCGTGCAGGCACCACGCAGCACGTAGGTAGCAAGGAGCACAGTTCTGCAGCCTGGATTGCTGCTTGCAGCTGGTAAGGATGTTATGGTGGGAGGGGAGGGGCATTGGGGGGCAGATCAAAGCCCCTGCAGTGAGGGAGAGAGTGGGGCTGGGGCAGGCGCTGCTCAGCCAGGACAGGGTGCAGGATGGAGCCGCAGCTCG